GTTGATCGTCTTTGAAACCTTTGGGCTGTTTCATGTAAATGACTTCGGCAATATGGCCATGTAGAAAAGCATTTGTTACATCTAATTGATGAAAAGGCCATGCATTAGTAATAGCAATGGTTAATAAAATGCGTATAGTTTGAAATTTTGCTACAGGACTAAAGGTTTCGAGATTGTTTAACCCATATTGTTGGTGATTGCCCCAAGCCACAAGACGATCTTTAAATCGAGCAATGGAGCCATCGGTTTTGTGTTTGATCCTGTATGTCCAGCGACTGCCAAGAACCTGAGTGTTGTGTGGTAGGGGAACAAGATCCCAGGTGCCTTGTTTTTGCAAGGCGTTGAATCATCAGCCATAGCGCGTCTCCAATGCTAATTTTTACTAGCTTCGTTGTAGCTGGTCGGTTCTTGAGTAGAAAGAAGAGAAGAGGAATCTTGAATATGGAGAAGGTTGAGACATTGAGTAGGTTTCAGCGAACCAGTTTTGGTACGAGTGATCATAGGATGTCCGGGTTTGGCAAGATCACGAGAAGTATTACTGCTAGGTGTAGACTGTGTAGTGATAATCGGAGACATGTGAGAGTTTGTAGATGCGGCAGGAGGTGCGAGGGTGGTGTGATGTTGGTGCCGATCAGAGATACTAGTCCTAACGGTGTTGGAATGATATTGTTTGGAATTTAGAGAGGGTTGCACAGCTTGGGAGACAGGAATAAGCAGAGAAGGATTTAGATTGACCGGACTTTGAGAGGAACTTGGAATAACGTGTTTGAATGGGAACGTATACTCATCAAAGACAACATGTCTAGAGATAAAGATTTTGTTTGTTATGGGATCTAAACATTTGTAGCCTTTTGAGACGTGAGAATACCCAAGAAACACACAGGTGCGAGCACGAGGTTGAAATTTATTGCGTTGATTAGAAGGAACCCAAGGAAAACAGGCACAGCCGAAAACTTTGAAGAATTTGTAACCGGGATGTTTGTTAAAAAGAAGATGGAGGGGAGTTTTAAAATTCGTAGTAGCCGTGGGTAGTTGATTTATGATGAAAGAAGCGGTTAGAAAAACATCCGGCCAGAAAGAGTAAGGAATGGAGGCACTGTGAATTAAACTCCTGGTAGTTTCAAGAAGATGTCTGTGCTTGCGTTCGGCAAGCCCGTTCTGTTAAGGTGTATACGGACAAGACGTTTGATGCGAAATGCCGTTTTGCATAAGAAAATTTTTGAAATTAGAATTTAAATACTCAGTACGACCATCAGACCGCAGGCATTTAATATGTAAGTTGGTTTGTTTTCAATAAAAATCTTGAAATTTTGAAAAATATCAAAAACATCAGACTTGTATTGCATCGGAAAAACCCATGAGAAACGAGAAAAATCGTCGATGAAAACAACGTAGTACATAAATCTTTGATGCGAGGGAACCGGGGAAGGACCCCAAACATCAGAGTGAATGATAGCTAAAGGCATAGACGCTCAATGCGTATTGTTATTAAAAGGTAGTTTATGACCTTTTGCGGTCATACAATCAGAACAAAAATTAAAAACATTTGGCATTTTCAACTCCTTATGAGAGGTGGAAATGGCTTGCACAATTTTCGGGTGAGGATGCCCCAACCGTTGGTGCCAGATTGATGCCGCCTGAGAGGTTGTAGTGAGCGCCATATAGGACGAATTCTTGGTGACTGATCGGAGAGGGTAAAGCCCCTTTCTATTTGGACCCGACAGAAGCATTTTGTTTGTCGTCATATCCTTAATATCAAAGCCATGAGGATAGAAATTAACAGAGACATTATTATCTTGAGTAAGATTAGAAACGGACAATAAATTGTGTGAAAGTTTTGGAACGTGAAAAAGAGGGTTAAGATTGAGCTTACGATACTGTGTTGGCAAAATCCCATTGCCCGAGTGAGCAATAGATATAGATCTACCATCACCGATTGTTATGTTATCGTTGCCAGTGTAAGGAGTGGCGTTGGAGAGGTTTTCCACAGAATTCGTGAGATGGGCGGATGCTCCCGAGTCCAAATACCAGTCATGATTGTCTGATTCGGTTGCAGCAACCATTGCACGGGACGTTGAATTTGTGTTGTTTGTCTCCGGAGGATTGACAGAGATGTTGAGTCTGTGCCAGCAGTTGTGGGCTAGATGGACCTTTTTGTTACAGATTTGGCATTGGGGAATATTTGACGAGGAGGAACGAGAGGACGGAGCCGAAGATTTGGCACGACCTCGTTTTCCTCTACCTCTGTTGGAGAACAGCGCTGTGGAAGAATTGCTCAGGTGAGTTTGACGAAGCGCTTTAGATTGAAGATTGATTTCTTCAGACAGCAACAGATAATAAAGCCGATCAAGGTCCATAGACATTGGCATTGCACGAATGGTGGTTTTCAGCGCATTATAGGACGGTGGTAAACCGTTCAGAGTATACAGCAGGACGTCTTCTTGATCGATAGTTGATCCGGCCGACGCAATATTGTCGACAATGTATTTGATTTGTTGAAGATATTGCATCATGTTCTGGGATTTCATCTGTACGTTATGCAACTCGTTTTTTAGTTGGATAACTCGAGATCTGTTTGATGATTGCAGTCGGCATTCAAGAGTGCTCCAAATGTCGGAGGAAGATACCAGATGTATTACATATGGCAAGATTGCCGGAGTTAGCGTAGAGCAGAGAGCTGCCGCTAGGTTCTGGTCGACAAGAACCAATTCTTGATATTTAGGATTGGGTTCTTTGCTGCCGTCAGGAAGAAGGGTGTGACTAGCTGGAGGTGACGCCGTTGGTAAGAGGAAGGATGAGAAGCTGTTCGCGGTGAGAAGTTTTAACACCTGAGATCTCCATATTGGGTAGTTGTCGGACGATAGTTGAAGGGGGACGATGATCTTGATGTTGGAGATCACAAACTTGAGGGCGGCCGGGATTGCAACGCTCTCGTCAGATGCTGAAGCGAAGATATCTTCAACGGAGGAAGCATCCATGATCGGAGCGGGCGGAAGGGAAGAAGAAAACGGAAGAACGCAAGAAGTCAAGGACTAGGCGGAAGAAGAACAGAGCCGTGGCTCTGATACCATAAAGACAGAAATGAATATTATTTCATATGTGTTAAGAGCTGATACAGGATATCTATATATAGATATTAGTGTAGATCCTAAGTACATAAGATTCGTAAGACAGGTAGATAACAGGTATCAGGTGTATGTTATTAATTAGTTATATCAGTTCTATGTTAATTTTGTCTATCAATCAATTTTTATCCTATCATGTAAAACAATCATGAATGTGATTATGAATAATATATAAGACATGACATCCAATTAATTACATGGTATTTTTCTGTATATTGTATTAGTATAAAGCGTTAGGTGTCAGGTGGCTATCTTATAAGACTTGTCACTTCTGCCTAGCGGTGTATCTAGTCCTCTTTTGACTCCATATCTTATATTTTGTATATTGTATTTGGATTAGACCACAACTCATAATTTAAAGAAAAGCTCGTTTGCCTACTCTCATGTATGTGGTATCTTGCTCCAACCAACATGAATTATTTAATAACTAGCCAGCCTTTCTTGCAATGCCACATTTATCTTATATTAGTCATATTATTTTTTAGGCAAATTCAATATCATATATGAGATGCAATAATTTACAAAATACAGTAAAATTCAAACACTATTTATTTACTTCAAAAAATTATAACTATCAATTTACTTTGTGAAATTTAATAATACTACAGACAAAATGCTCATAAGAATTATATCTATCATATAAAAAAAGTTTTACGATGAAAGTTCGGTAAATAAAGAAAAAATATTTTTATAAATTTGGGAAAATTAAATTTACCAAACACAAAATCACCGAAAATAAAAGTAGGATTTGGTTTATCTAACACGATCATAACAATTTTTGTAACATGAGCAGCGAACGAAAATACCTCGGAAGCTCTTCTCTCTCTCCTCTCCTTCTTTCTTTCCTTCCTTGACAAGCCAAACAAGAGATGAGGAGGGAATGGTGTTGGTGATGAAGAAGAGATTTACATAATAAATATTTTTTTTTAGTGCCCAACATTTCATCTCTTTAAAAATCTAGCACCGCGGCGCTGCATGCCGCTCCCAGAGTAACTGTAGAATAGAGAACTTAGCGCCGCCACGTTGAATTCTAACGTCCCAATGTCGTTCAGCCCGAAAGCAAAGTGCCACAACGCTCTAGTTCATAAATTTTATATTTTTTTAAGTAAATCCATTTTAAGAACTTTGAATCATTACATATGATGCTTATGACAGTAAGATATTTCAAGCGCTAGCTCATTTGTACGATGAGATTGCTCCAAGAGATACCAAGAAAAAGTAGTTCTTCGCTTCTAACCTCCGCATGCCCACACACTGATATTAAGCTCAACATTATAAAATCATTTATCAATTTTCTTAATTTATTTGTATCTTATTGTGCTAAAAATTTTCATGACTTCCAATGTGACTTCTACACCATCAAGCTTGTGTTGCTTCTCTCTCATTAAGCACATTAGCTTGTACTAATCTTTAATCCACATTGTTCAACTTGTGAGAAAAAATGGCTTGCTACCTCCTTCCCTTTTCATGTTGTTGCCTTGTTGATTGGATGTTATCCTTGTCTAAGTACCACCCTTTCAAGAATTGATCTATATAATATAAGCAAAATAATGTTTCTAAATCTTCATCATACTCAATGCACCTAAATTTGATATAAAATGTATGCAAGTAGATATTAACATTTTTCTTAAATTATTTAATTATTACCTTATTGCTGTTTTCTTACCATTTTTTTTTAAATTTTTTTGTAATAAAAATCTCATTTTTTTATCATAGTAATGAGATTGTGATCAATTTATAAAATGTTGTATTTGTCTGTTTTAAAAAAATATCCCCTTATTGATTAAATTAGTATACTATACTCAATTTAAATAAATTTATTTTTTTAATTAAAAAAGAAAACATTCATTCCTATTAAATTTGACAGAGAACGTTAATCTGAAGCGTGGGCGAGCTACAATGCCGCCTCACAGTACTGCTAACATGTCGCGGGGACTACACAAAAATCCGAGCTTTGGAGATTTTCTTTTGATTTGGATTAATTGGTAGGTCAAGCCCTCTCCTCGCCCACTAACCGAGATCAGATCTAGGGTTTCGAAAGTCCACTCCCACTTGGAATTTCTCTCCGATTTTCGTGTCCCATTTCGTTGACTACTCGTTGCCACCAACGTGGATGATGATCCTTCTCTTAATTACAGCTCTTTATAAGCTGTCCGTTTACGTGGCTCCAATTTTGATGGAGTAAGGCATTTCTGCTTTGGAGAGTTGCGCTGAATAGTTGAGGTTGGTTAGTGAAGAATAGCGTCAAGATGGGAGATGGCGAGCGGTTCCAGCTGGGAACCGTGGGCGCGCTGAGCCTCTCGGTGGTATCGTCCGTCTCCATTGTGATCTGTAACAAGGCGCTCATCAGCTCGCTCGGCTTCACATTTGGTGAGGTCTATTTTTGTGGACTTATGGTTTCTGTTTTGCTAAACCCAAAACCTTATTCTGATCATATTAGTCGTACTTATTATTTGGTGTTGGGACATATTATGATGTACGAAGGAGCTGATTTTACTAATTTGAAGATATTGTTGTTTGTATTATAGGGAAATGAGTCTTGTTTGGATGCTAAATTTTTAATTGATTGTAGCCTTTTTGTGGTCCTCTGATCACCTTTATTATGGTTCTTTTATTTGTTGGGGTGTTGACAAGGGAAGTTTATGGTTAAATTTTACTGCTGTTCCAAACTGCTAGATGCATTGTACGTAAACAGACACTCCATTTTTATATATATTTATTAGTAATGTATCAGTCATAGTTTTGAAAATCAGATCTGGATGATCTGAGAGGCAAGGAATGGTTCAGAGATTGAAGAATTGAAGGATGGAGAGCACTTTTTTGCTGTGAAATAATTGCTCTATGGCAATGGAATTTGATCAGTGGGACCTAGCTTCTGCAGATGAGCGTGAATGGAAACTCAGACTGGCATTCAAGGTGTTTGTGCATTTGTCTTTGACAGTTTCAATCCCAAGTTGAGCCCAGCTGGGTTATGATTCACTCTTAGGCGTTCAGTTCAATTAGAAATAATAGTGTTCCAATCTGAGATTGATGTGTGGTATTCAGTATGAGTTTAAGATTAATGCTTAGGCTACATGGCGTGATAGAGGTTACTGGAATTCAATGTTCGGATATTGATAAAACTTTGAGTGAATTTAAATAATGATGGAGGATAAGTACATCAAAGATCACAATTGGGAGAAACACAAGTTTACGTTTATTGGTGGTATTCAATTACATTCATGGCCACTCAAAGATCAAATATTCTACTTTGCTTTAAAAGATGTGTATCTTTGCATGCAAATTAAAGATAAATATAGGGAGACTCCCCTATCATGGTCAGACACTATAGACTCTAATATCCCATGCAGTATGACCACCTTCTTGATGAATGCCGTTGCCACTGTCATTGCCGTGTAGGGATGTCGTAGGGGAATAAAGTGGGCATACTTGCTCAACATGTCAACTATCACTAAAATCACTTCAAATCCCTTAGATCGGGGTAACCCATCTATAAAGTCCATGGTGACCACCTCCCACACATTGTCTGATAGAGCAAGGGGTTAAACTAACCCCCTAGAGCCATGGCCATGTACTTGCTTCGTTGGAATACCTCACATCTTGTCACAATCTCTTCCACATCTTTGTGCATCCCCTTCCAATACAGTTCTGTCGCTAATCTCATGTATGTCTTATGCACACCAACATGACCCCTCAGCTTGCCCATGAAACTTCTATAACATATTTGGAATATAGACTGACGTTCGAGGCAACACAAACCTTTCTTAGTACAACAGTCTCTCCTCCTCTAGGGAATAGCCAGGTGGCTATTCTCATCTTTCATTAGATCTGCTTTGATCCTCCTCATCTCCTCATCCTACACACTCTCTCCTCTTTAAGCCACAGCTTCGATCCTCTTGAATATCAGTGGTATCGACATTGCTAGCTCTTAGAGCTCTCCCACACATCTGAACAAGGCATCAACCACCTTGTTCTCCAACTCTGACCTATATTGTATCTCAAAATTATAGCCCAATAGCTTTGAAAGCCGCATATGATGTTCCTCGGTAACCATCCTCTGTTCTAACAGGTACTTCAAGCTCTTTGGCCTTTCCTGATGATGAAATGTCAGCCCAATAAGTAAGGCCGCCACTTCTGAATAGCCAACACTATTGCCATCAACTGCCTCTCATAGACAGACTTTAGCCTGGCTCTGGTTGTCAACTCCTGACTGAAGTAAGCTATGAGCTTGTGGTTCTGCATGAAGACTGTCTCTAATCCATACCCTGATGCATCCATCTCTACCACAAAAATCTAGCTGAAATTTGGTAGGGCTAGGACCAGTACCATGATCATGGCCTTCTTTAATCTCTCAAAGGCCTGAGTAGCGGCATCTCCACACAAAAAAATTGTCCTTTTTCAGCTGCTCTGTCAATGGCCAGGCTATGATGTTGTATAGTCTCACAAATCTCCTGTAATATCCAATCAATCCTAGAAAATCAACCTCTAATCTCTCTCAGATTCCTAGCTAGAGGCCACTTAAGCATTAACTCAATCTTGGCCTGATCAGCGGCCACCCCCTCTTGAGATACCATGCGCCCTAAGTACTCCACACTGGCCTATATAAAATAACACTTCTTCAGGTTGACCCTCAGTTGATGCTCTTATAACACTCCTAAGACCACCCTCATATGCTCCAAATGCTCCTCATATGATCTACTATACACCAAGATGTCATCAAAGAAAACCAATACGAACCTCCTGAGATATGGTTGGAACACCCTATTCACGAGGGACTGGGATGTAGCAGAGGCATTGGTGATGCCAAAAGACATCACCAGGAACTCGTAGTGTCCCTTATGAGTCTTAAATGCAGTCTTTAGAATATCCTCCTCTCTCATCTTGATCTAATGGTAGCTAGATTTCAGGTCCAGCTTTGAAAACACCACTGCTCCGCACAACCCATCCAGCTGCTCATCTATCTTCGGAATGAGAAATTTGTCGGGCATAATCTCCTTATTTAAGGCCTGGTACTTAGCACAGAATCTCCAGCTCCCATCATTCTTCTTAATCACTAAGACTGGGCTAGAAAAAAGGCTCATACTTGGCCTGTTGATCTCTACCTCCAACATCTCTCTAACCAGCTTCTCAATTTCATCTTTCTGAATATGAGGATAGCAGTATGGTCTGACACTAATCGATGATGGTCACTCCCTTAAAGTGATGGCGTGCTTTTGCTCCTTTGGTGGTGGCAATTCTTGAGGTAGCTAAAAGGCCTCACAGAACTGTTGTATAAGTGGTTGTACTGAAGGAGATATGCCTCCCACCTCTTCCAATCCGATCCCTTCTAAGCTCTGCAGTTCCATCAGAAATCCTCCTACCACTTCTTGTATAGTATTCACCATGGTTTTGAGTGATACCATAGCTTTGGATAACCCTGAATCACTAATCACCTTTCTTCCCTCCACTAGTTCCTTCGTCAGTTCTTCCTAATTAACCTTGGTATCCCCCCCCCAAGGTCTGTCTCCATTCATCCGCAGGATGACATCAATGCTCCTCAACTCTAATGGGAGGAAGTCATCTCTCATCTGGACCCTCTGTATGATCAGAATCACGTCCTTACACACCCCTCTACCCATCTCCATCTTTCCAGTGCCTATCATCACTCTATAACACCTTATGTCCACCGATTGGTCTACGACCTGATTTGAGATGAAATTATGGGTCACTCCACTATCTATCAACTCCACCTTCACCTCCTTGTTTGCTATTTCTCTTTTCACTTTCATGGTGTGATTTGGAGCGAATTACACCATCAAGTTCAAGGAGACTTATGCCATGTACAGATGCAACTCTTACTCTTCTACAACTACCTCACTCCCACCTCCCTCATCAGTTATCTCGTCATTGCAGACTGTGATAACCTGAAGAGTTTGGTCCTCACCCTTGTACCCCGACTTATATTTCTAATCACACTTGAAACACAATTCCTTAATCCTCTTCCCCTGCAGCTCCTTCTCAGTGAGTTTCTGGAAATTCCCCCCTCCCCCTTTCTACATGCTTCTCCTTTGAAGTCTCTTGAAGTCTACCTGGTGTCGGCCCCTTTGGTGCTACAAAGTGGTACCCATATTGCGACGCCCTATAATCTAATTTGGAAAAAATATATTTTTTTTTATCTTTTAATATATAATAACCAAAGCTACTTAATTTTTCTTATATATAAATGCCAACAAAAATAAAACTATCGATCAAAACATCAATATATACATGTATTCATTTTCCCAAAAATCATATATACTACCAGGATTTATATAATCATATCGCAACTACTCTGTCATGAGTACAAAAGAATAGCTAAAATAACAAGAACCTGAATTTGAAGGATTTTGCTCAGTTTCACACTTCTGCTCTCTTACCATGACATGAAATCATTTAACTACATATAATGAGTTCAAGAGCCCAGCAAGTGATCAAATCCTACATATGAACTCAAACTCGTCAAAGGAACAATATGCATATCAACAGTCAAATTATAATAATAATATTTATATAATCATGAATTAGTGTAGACGCAATAAATCTCACATATAGTAGTAATAAAGTCTTTAAATGATGAAATAATATGGTTCATAAGTGCAATGGAGAAACCAATAAATTCGTACTAGTTTCAAATTAGTAAATAATTGTATAAAGCGATAAAATCAAAGCATCAGTAGCAACTGTTAGAATCATATTAATACGGCAAAATCATATAAATGCATGCATATCTATTATATCAATATCTTAATCATATGCTCAGTATATCGTATGTTTAGTATCAGTAATCAGTACAATGAATCAATAATAGTAACAATAAATCAATAATAGTATTAGTAAAAATATCGATATTCGTATCAGTTTCAGTAAAACCAGTGGCAAGAGCAATAAAATAATACAGTAACAGTAAATCCATGCATTAATAATAAATCAATATAGTAATAGGAATAATGCCTCAATAACATGCATTTCAATAATCACACTAAACAAATAAGAAGTCCTGGTTTAAGTGTTATTTTTCCAGTAAGCAATAATCCATATAAAAAACAGTAATCCGTATCAATATTTCGTTGGCTTAGTAAATAAAGTCGTCACTTTTTGTCTGTCGGCACAATAATAACTCCTAATAACTCCCAATTAGTATCACATGAATCAGTAAATGATAACGCCAAATCACAGTATTTAAAGGAAAACCCTTTGGCTTGCCCACCATTCTGTACAAGTCAATTAATCTCCAGCCAACGTCAGTGAAATTAGCTTTTACTTGTCCTCACACATATTATTATCACAATATTATAATAGTAATAGCGACCTGCTGTTATGCAATCATACACCTATTTTCATCCTCAATACCTATATTAATAATATGTTTAAATAAAAATATACAATTATTTATTTAGTGCAAATCGTACGAAATTCAATAATTTCTATTTTTATATAATGAAATTTAATAATATTATAATCAAAATGCTCATATTATTGATATTTATCACATATAAAAAATTATGCAGTGAAAGTTTGTTAAAAATCAAGATATCACAAATTTTGTAAGTTTTGACTAAATAAAAATGCATAAAACACAAAATAAATAAACTCTTAAAATCATAATAGGGTAATAGTTTCTTATAATGAGATGAGCAAATTTTCCAATATGACCGACCGGCAAAAACAGGCAAAAATCGCTCTACGGCCTCCAAATCTAAGCTTTTTTTTTTTTCTCTTTCCCTCTCCTTTCTTCTCTTATTTGTTATTTTAACTCTCTGTTAAGCCAAATGAAGGGATTAAAAAGGGATTTAAAGGATCTGAGTGGTTTAAGATATTTGGATTAAAATATTAATAGTATATAAATGTAATTATGCAAATATTTAATTTAGCAAAAAATTAATATAAATTCATTTATATTTTCAATTAGGAGCTTAAAAAATTATAGAAACATACCCATAAAATAGCCCGTCTTTTTTAGAACACTTTGGTGAAATCGGTTTGTAAAACGAAAACCTGACGGCCCCAAAGCCCCCACTTGTACTGAAATATATCAATTTCTTAAGGATTTGCATCAATGCCAAAAAATATGAAAAACATTAGTGTAATTAATGCACTATAATATCTATGTTATGACGAAGACGGTTTGTGATTTGGATTTATAATTAATCCTAAAAAAATTATTTCACTGAGTCAAACTATGGGTTGTTACAATAACCTTACAATTTCAATCATATACAATTTTGCTATTTCTCCATAGAATCAGTGTGTTTAATTAGCAAGAAATTTACAGACTTTGCCGATCTATTTACAATAATCTATATGGCGTCACAGCTCTTTTTTTATCAAGTAATCTAATCACAAAATTCTTTGATATCTAATCCCATAATTACTCTAGTATTGATAAAGTTTCAGCTATCACCATGGCCTTTGATGTTCTGTTTTAACTTCTAATATGTAGGACACCAAATCATATATCGTCAACACTTTATTTTAGTCCTAATCACCTAAGCAATTTTGAGTTCCTGATATATTTTAATTGCTTAATGGGTGAATTTTTAACCATAAATATATGATTCTTGTAGAATTTCTTTTCTTAAATTATTTGTATCGATAAGACAGATCTTGCCATTGCATTTCAATAACTTATTCTTATTAATTTCATAATCTTCTAATGACATGCTTTTATTAAATTTAGAATTTTATGAAAAATCAATATCCTTAATGAATTTCGTATCATGTTTTCAATGTTCACTGAATCATTAGTTGATTGAATTGAATAAAATACCATCATTAGAATTTGCTACTAATAATTTAATCTATTTATATCATTAATTAACTGTCATTGTTAATTAAGTGATTACTTTACACAGCTTGAAGCTTTTCTACTTAACACAAGCAATAATATTTGTCTTTTCAGGATTATAATATATATCTAGATCATGATTTTTTCTGAGCTTTAACCATCATCTCTACTTTAGATATAAGCGAAGTGCTATTCCATGTTTCCACTCCTTTGGTGGTATCGGCATATGTTGGGTGTCATGCTTATAGAAGATAATTATATTTTTAAAAATAAAACCCGGATATGTAGCTATCATTAAAGCCAATAAAGAGATGCTTTGGCTAAAAAATCTTTTAGGAGAATTAGACCTATTACAAGAAGATAATGCTCTCTTTTGTGGAAGTCAAAATATTATTGACTTAGTAAAGAGTGTCATCTTAAACTCCTAGACATAACCTATGCAACTCACATACTACTACATCTATAATTTTCTTGATGATGATGTATAACAACCCGTTAAAATCAAAGGAGCAAAAAATCCGGCAAATATGCTTGCAAAAGTAGTATCCATTGAAAATTGAGGCTTTGTAAAGCCTCAAATAACTTTTATAATTGAGATATGCAGATGCTACACAGAAAGGTGTGTTTTGACACTAACCACTAAATGGGTACTTAAAAAATTATTTCTCTTGGTTATTTTGGAGATAAATTTCTTTAAAAGTATGGAAATAATTTTATCTAACCATTATAAATATTCTACTTATCACCCTTTACCTAACTTTCACAAGTTTATTACCAACATCATATACCTAACATCTATATTAAATTACCTACTATCATCTACCTAATATTTACAAGCTTGCTATTTACCATGTCTAAGCATGATTAAATGAGATGGTTGCATTTTATTGAAGCATGGCCATACGAAAATAGAAAGAAGAGGGAGAGAGAGGGTAGAGGGGCCTAATCTTTTAGTCATAACAGGGAGAAGCTTTTACAAGTGAGAAGGGAAAAGAGGAAGTTGTTACAACTAAGAATGTAAGACAATGATAGTAGTAACATAAGCATCTTCTCCACAATCAGCCTTTATTCTCTCTCAGACATTGGTGTAGAAAAGTGGTATTTATATGATTATTTTTTAACTTGTGTAAATATAAAACTTTTAATATACTACTCTTTTAAAGCTTAGTAGAATATTTGATCTTTGTGTAGCTTTGGATGTAAGTGAATGTCATTGAATCATAGAAATTTATATATTGTGTGATTGCAATCTTTGGTGTGTTTGTTCTCCATCATCATTTGGTTTTGCTCAAAATTTCCCAACACTTAAAATCAAAGATATCCAGAAAACACTATGAAATAATACTTTTGTATTATTTCAATAGAATAAGGTTTCATTATTTATTATTTTTTATCACCTGAAAGCTTTTTGGTGATTTCATCCGCATCCCTTGTCTATCATTTAGCCTAATTTTGCTACTTAGAGCTGGCCTCATGAATCTTTATTCCAAATTTATTCCCTTTGAGTTTTGCTTGTTATATTATCTCCAATTTAAACAATTATTTGTTTGCGTTTTCTAGCCAAGTTAAATTTGGTTTACCGTTTTTGTTAATCCTTTGAAATTGTTCTACTTGCTGTATTATAGGTTCTTGCTTGCCCAAACCTTAACAACCTTGAATATATGCTATTCTCATAAGTTCTTTGTCAATTATTTCACACCATCCTTCCTATTTTTGCCACCTCTGACTTAACAACTCATTTAACCAGACTTATTTTAATTTTCATTAATTTATTTTTGTGATTTCCAAATTTTTAATAGCCATGTGAACTTATCTGTGTTATCTCTATTCTCAATGCAGACCTCTTTAAAATGTTGTGCAGATAATTTGGGTTATTCTTATGAATTTATTTCAATATAAATTTTCTTGACTAAATCACAATGTATTTTCAGCAAAGTCGAAACTTTTGTGCTTATCTCACTTATGTTGGTTGCAGCCACTACTTTGACGAGCTGGCATCTCTTAGTCACATTCTGTTCGCTTCATGTGGCATTATGGATGAAGTTTTTTGAACATAAATCGTTTGATCAGAAGGTGGTTGTGGGATTTGGAATACTTAATGGGATCTCTATTGGTTTGCTAAACCTAAGCTTGGGTTTCAATTCAGTTGGCTTCTATCAGGTGCCCCGCCTTTTTCTAATCCAATTGCAAAGCTTCATTTTACTGATCACTTCCTCCATTTGTAATTTTTGCATGCAGAAGCCTTCTGATTTTCAATAAGCTTCAATTTAAATTATTGGCTATTTTCTAAAGCATGCTGATACGTACACTATTAGTTATTATTTTTGACTTCGTATGTTATTTCCAATATCTTGAACTTATGAAATTGTTGAACATTATAATGTCCTCTTTGATTTTGAAGTTTCTTGGTAGCTTAAACTTACCTACAAGACAATCTATATACCGACTACAAGATTCTGTCTATAGCATAGTGCAGTTGGTTAGGGATTACATAATTGTTGAATTGACATTAAGCAGTTCAGTTGATGTTTGGTTCCATTTCCATTGTTTGCTTTGTTAAAGATTGGCACAGAAAATGAACAAAGTTACAAAATGTATCGCTTTTCATGTGTGGCCCTAATCAATCAAGCAAGAGGGTTGAGAAGAAGGTATTCAAGTAAACATGCATTTTGCATTTGTTATGACGGCAAATTGTATAAAACAAGGCTTGCAAGAAAACCTGCAACAACATCAAGAGAAATGATAAAACAGAATTACATGTCACGGCAAATCTTTTCTTTTGGAATAGCTTTTTATGTCTATTGGAATAGCATTATATGTTACTGCAAACCTTTTCATTACTTTTGACATAACTTTTTCAATTGGTGGTCGACTTTATGTCAACCCGCAACCTTTTTCATCAACGTTTGAGATCTCAATTCCTAAGGCAGCTATACTAAAATTACAAAAACAATAACACTAACATCAACCCTTTATCCCACTACGTGGAATACTAAAATAACACTGAAAAAAAAAAAAAGTAAATGCCAAACCCTGTGTTTTAATTTTGTAAAATTTTTTGTTTATTCCCTAGGAATTCCCTCTGCCATTTTTTATTTTATTATTTTTAGATGGGCATGTTGTGTAGATTATCTAATACTTTTTATTACATTTTTGCATCATTTCCCTTCATACATAAGAGGTTATTACGTCTGATACATGCTTGTTCTACCTGTGTTTTTCCTTTATTTGCTGATTCTGTTTTTTAAATTTCTTGAAAGTAAATATTCTAGCAGCTTATGGCTTCATTTTCTTATCTAGATGACAAAACTGGCAATAATTCCTTGCACTGTTTTGCTGGAGACTCTTTTCTTTAGGAAGACATTCAGGTTAGGTTTTGCATTTATCATCTACTTTTTTTTTACGTTATATGTGGTATTCTGCTGGTTTCGAAATTCTCGAGAATAATCAAACCTATTTTATTTATGCAGTAAGTATATTTCTATTTTGGGTGTACTATATTAACAAGTAGAAAACAACATTACTTGAGCTGGTTCTAGTCTTCTAGAGCCGATCTATGAATTCACGTTGGGATTTTTTTGATCAGCAATCATGTAATTGACATCTTGATGGCTGTGAGACTATCCTTTCTTTTTAAGCACACAGCTAGGCCAACTTAGGCTTCGTTTGGGACGGCTTTCTTACTGCTTCTTAAAGCAGCTTTCTAGTATAAAAATTTTATACTAGAAAACCGCTTTAAGAAGCAGTAAGAAAGCCGTCCCAAACGAAGCCTTATTTTAAGAACTTAGCTTTTAAACTGCTTTTGCCTTCAACAACATCCGCTCTGTGAGGTTATATATTTTTCTAAGTTCATGACCAGACCATCTTATATCTGTGAGTTTCTGCTAATTTTTACAAATTTTATTAGAACAGTTTGAAATCAGATTTCAAGTTTAGCAAGCCTATTTCCACCTCATATTGTGCAAGAAAATTCCCGTGCTATGGCTAGTCTCCTTAAGTTTGAAAAATATTGAAAGTTTCCATGTTTTGTAGAGTTGTGGAAAATTAGTATAGCAGACAGTAAATGCACATGGCTGGTTTCATATTCAATAGAGAGAGTGGTGCAGTCACGATCCATTTACTTAACGAGTCAATTAATTCAGTTGTTAAATAATTATGATAAAGTTAATGATTGTAAAGTGCATTCAATAGGTTTATGATTTATGGATATGTTTACCTGAAAGTTGAATTATCATGTAGATTATAAGTTGGCCTCGAATGAGCTTGAGCCTGAGAAAAAATTTCCACATTATGTAGAACTACGGTGAATTATGTAGAATGAATAATCAGGGAGGTGGTTTTAGTAATTCAATGAAGAGAGGATTTTGGTAATAATAGCAATAAAGTTGGCAAACTATTGAGATTAGGCTGATTTCGAGCTATGTCGGGTGTTTGTGTCGGGTGTTTGTGTTGAAAATATATAATGATGAAAATACCTCCATCATATCTAGATCTCATGTCAAATCATTGAGAAAATTTTAATGAAAAGCATGTTTGAATCCATTGAACTACAAATTTGAGGTTTTCGACATTCCATTTCTAAAAAGGATGTTCTGTAGAGAGAGAGTCTTTGTTTTCTTTAGTGATGAATGTAAACAAATGAATGAACTACTTTTTAGATTGGATTCTAGGATCCTATGTGTTGGAGTTTATTTTATTTGCATTTTTTCCCATCATAAAAATAAAATTATATACTTAATCTTTACACATTTTAAAGTCTATATATATTAATGAGATGTCTCAAAAAATCTTAATAATAATCCTTAATTTGGTCACCATTTTAATCTGCATAAAATTTTAGATAGAATATAATGTATAATTAATATTGATATGTAAACCCATATTAAAAATTTTCCAACTGTTTGTTCATGATAAATAGAAACATTTTGGTTGGGATTTGCAAATCAGGAGTGCCTTTATATTATGTGATAGCCATTAACATTGGAAAGATCAGGATTTGAATTTTCTTAGTTCGGAGCAATGTGTTCTGTAAAACGGGCTAGGTACAGTGAAATTTGCTTTTGATTCCACTATGTTTGAGAGATGGAGAAAAAAGATTTTGCGCACATCTCAAACGATGGTTTCTTGTATGAAGGATCCAAAGTAGGCCCGTAGTTTCAGAAAGAGTTTGCATTCTTTTATTTAATCTCTGTTTTAATCTTCAAGAAGCACTCATGAATAAAACGTAATGCCTGCAGGTTCAAATTAGATGATGCTTGCAAGTGATAGTGCATAAATGTGCTTTCTTGAGTGAATGCATCTTTACACATTTATTTAATTAGGATTAGTTATTTTCTAGTAAAATTTTTGAATCAGTGGTGCTGCAGATGATGGCAGAAAATAGGATGTCATAAAAATGATATTTATTTACAAGTCATCTGATGTGAAATACTTGAATTCACAAGTAACCCTAACAATAAATTGGTAAAACAACGAGAAAGAACACAAGACGATACTGAAAGCAACCCAAAACAGTAAATTTTATTAGATAAAATCAAAGCAAAACAAACACTAGCAAAGATACGATTGATCCTTTATTCGAGAGGAGGATCGTTTTCTCCTAATCTCTAGACACTAGGTCTAGAGCCCAAAACTCCCAAGAGACTCCAAGAATTAATTCAAATAGATTAATTCAAACCTCCTTTCACAAAATATATTAATCCCTTGCCTTAAATAAGATATTTTATTTAATTAAATAGGGGTCCACGTCCCTATGGCTTAGGCAGTTAGAGAGGAGGCGGTTTGAACCACCTCCTGTAGACCTTGGCCGACCTAGGTGGGGTCGACTGGATAGGCGTCGACTTATCAATACCTCCCTCCCAAAGAATCACCTTGTCCTCAAGGTAAAAACAAGGAAATTGATGTTTCATCCTCTCGTATGGCCCCCATGTGGCCTCGTAATCAGGAAGGTTCTTCCATTTGATCAACACTTAGTTCATTCTTCTTTTTAACGAACCCACATCAGCTCTAAGGGTTCCAAAACCACCTCTAAATCCTTAGTAAGTGTCGTCGGTAGCTCGGGGTTGGTTGTGTAGTCACCAATAGCCTTCCTCAGCTGCGAGACATGAAAAATCGGGTGTATAGTTGCCGTTGGTGGTAATTTCAGTCGATATGCTACTTGCCCCAATCTTCTCCAGCACTTCATAAGGCCTAAAGTACCTTGGAGCTCGCTTTTCATTCCTCCTGTTGGCGACTGTCCTCTGTCTATATGGTCGGAGCTTCAAGAACACCCTCTCCCCCACTTCAAACTGGATGTCCCTCCTATACCCATCAGCTTGTTTCTTCATAATTTGTTGGGCCCTCAGCAGATGTCTCTTCAACTCTTCTAACACTCTATCTCTCTCCTCCAAGTACTCCTCAACTGAGGAAACTGGGTTGCTGCTACTCTCAACGTGTACCAAGTAGGCAGGATTCCTTCGTATAACACCTTGAATGGAGTCATCTGAGAAGTAGAGTGAAAAGAGGTGTTGTACAAGTACTCGACCCATAATAGCCACTTAGCCCAGAGCTTGGGTGTCTCTGATACGAAACATCTCAGGTAAGTCTCCAAGCTCCTGTTCACTACTTCCGTTTGGCCATCCGTCTGTGGGTGGTAAGTTGTACTCCTCTTTAGAACTGTCCCCTGCAGCCTGAACAACTCTCTCCAAAAATGACTGAGGAATACCTTGTCTCTGTCTGATACGATCGCCTTGGGTACTCCATGTAATCAGACCACCTCTCTAATGAAGGCTGAAGCCACTATTACTGTTGTGTAGGGGTGTCAGAGGGGAATGAAGTGTGCATACTTGCTCAACCTGTCCACCACCACCAGGATCACTGTGAACCCTTCTGAACGGGGCAACCAATCTATAAAGTCCATAGAGATCTCCTCCCACACTCTTCCTGGTAGAGCTAACGGCTGTAGTAATCTTCCTGGTGACATAGCCAGGTACTTATTCCTTTGGTAGATCTCACACCTAGCTACCATCTCCTCTACATCTTTACGCATCCCCTTCCAGTACAGTTATGCAGCTAGCCTCCTATATGTCTTATGTACGCCTGAATGCCCCCCCACAACGCTTCTATGAAACTCTTGGAGTAAGTTTGAGATGTGGATCGAGGTCCGGGGCATCATAAATCTCCCCTGACATAGCAGTTCGTCTCCCTCCAATGAGTAATCTTGGTGGCTACCCTCTTCTTTCAGTAAATCTGACATGATTTTTTCCAAACCTTCATCTCTCGCACTTTCCTCTCTAATGGCCTCCTAGTCAAGCATCAAAGGAACATATAGTGTCACTGTCTGCAGCTCCCCCATACATCGAGATAAGGCATCTGTCGCCTTGTTCTCCACTCCTAGCCTATACTAAATCTTAAAATCGTACCCCCAGTAACTTGGACAACAACCTTTGATGCTCCTCTGTCACCATCCGTTGTTCTAGCATGTATTTCAAGCTCCGCTGATCTATCCTGACAATGAAATGTCTCCCAAATAGGTAGGGTTACCACTTCTGGAAGGCAAAAACGATGGCCATTAATTCTCTCACATAGACTGACTTCAGCCTGGCTTTAGCAATCATAACATGACTGAAATAGGCAATGGGCCTACAATTTTGCATAAGCACTGCACCAAGTCCGTATCTGGACGCATCCGTCTCCACAATGAAGGTCTGAGTGAAATCTGGCAAAGTTAGGACCGGTACTGTTGTCATTGCCTTCTTCAAGCTCTCAAATGCTGTTGTGGCCGCCTCCCCCCGTAGGAAACCGTCCTTCTTCAACTGCTCAGTGAGTGGTCATGCTATAGTGTTGTACCCCTTTACAAACCTTTTGTAGTACCCTATTAGTCCAAGAAATCCCCTCAGCTCCTTCAGATTTTTCGGCACTGGACACTTTAACATTGACTCAATTTTGGACTAATCTGCTGCCACCCCTTCTTTTGATACGACATGGCCTAAGTGCTCCACACTGGCTTGTGTGAAGCAGCATTTCTTCAAGTTGGCCCTCAGCTGGTGCTCCTGCAGCACTTCTAACACCCTTTTCAAATGTTCCCAGTGCTCCTCCTATGTTCGGTTGTAGATCAGGATGTCATCAAAGAATACCAGTACAAATCTTCTAAGATAAGGTTTGAAAACCTTATTCATGAGGGCCTGGAATGTAGCGGGAGCATTGGTGAGGCCAAAAGGCATCACCAGAAACTCACAGTGTCCTTCATGAGTTCTAAAGGTTGTCTTGGGCACATCCTCCTTCATCCGGATCTGATGGTAACCTGACTTCAAGTCTATCTTGTTGAAGATCACTGTTCCACTCAATTCATCTAATAGCTCATCAATGACTAGTATAGGAAACTTGTCAG